TTTCGCTACAGGCGACTGCGCATACATCTGCCAAGCGAGCGAGTTACGGATCAAGCGAGTTGAAACGAATCGTGTTTGGAATCGTTCTTCTTTTCTCAGTGATCGAGAGAATCACAATATATCCACCACTTTTCTTAACCCCAAAAATCTTAAATATTCGATAAGATACATCTCGAAATAGTCTGACATCAAATTCAAATGCAAATTTTTGAAAGTAATTCCTTAAAGAAGTAATTTTGCTCATTTACGTATATCTATTTTATCAGCAATACGTTTTATATTATTTTTCATCTATTATTGATGTTAAAATAAAGAATTTATAAAAATAAATACGCGTATAATTTAGTTGTCGAAATTTCTTATTTTTTTTAAATTGTGCGTATGTGATTGAAGTTTAGAGCGTTCTTGAAGTAAAAATTAAAAATTTGTTAATAACAATCAGGATTATAAAAAATGCTTTTAATTATATCAAAAATATCAAATTTACGCAAAAAAGCATTACTGATGTACAAATATGATAAAACAAAAAACATCGAAATTATCATACATATGAGTATATATATATATATACATATGTCAATACTTAACATACTGATACGTAAAAAATTGTCTAAAAAATTTCTTAAATATTTTTATGAACAGAACTTTTTAGATGATTAATGTACGTGCTCAGGACTGTACAAGAATTATTTTATAATAAATTAAATGTTCGAAATACAGCCAGCTTATCATATATTCGAAAATTCGAGTTTTTTGGGTTAAATATATATTTAATAGCAGTCTACGGTCGAAATTATGCTACAGAACTATAGAACTCGTCGAAAACTATAAAATTTCATTGTTTAAATTTGGAAAAATGAGAATAATATGCTAACTTGACTTGAAAGTTAGCATATCATTGCGCATTTTTTCAAATTTGAACAATGAAATTTTATTTATTTATTTTATTTTATGAAGTTTTCGACGTGTTCTGTAGTTCTGTAACATAGGCGCGCTGCCACTAAATATACATATATTTAATCCAAAAACTCGAATTTTCGAATATATGATAAGCGTTGATGTTTTTTCATATTTTGAAGCCTGCTTCAACATATTCAACATATTAATTAATCATTAATAAAGTATTTTAATAATTATTTAATTTATGAATTATTTAATTATCTAATTTTTTTCAATATCAATCTTTTTAATATAAAAGTGAAGAATGGCGCGCGCTTGTGTTGTTCTAGTGTTTTATAAAAGAAATGAGATATTTTTATTGTTCTTTCTGTATACGATAATCGAATTGTCAAACAATCTTGAAGCTTATATCGCTAAATCTTTCATGTTAGTTTGTCAGATGCATGTAGCTTCCGAGTTTGGCAGGATATCTATCAGGCTTACTTTGGTGCCATTATCCCTTCCTTCTAGATTTTCTCACTTTTCTTTCCCTCTCTTTTCACTCTGTACACTAAAAAATTCACAATTTGAATCGCAATAATTTTTTACTTTTATCATTTTTATTATTTTGCCTTATAATGTTTAATTATTTTGTTAATTAAAAATAAAAATAATTTTAATTATATATATATTATATATATAATGGATTTAAAAAATATGTAATGTCTGTAAGCTTTTATTAGTTTTTATTTTTATATTGTTGATCAAAACAGAAAATTTATTATAATGTAACGTCTAGTGTAATGCATATCTTGAAATGTAATCATGATTTTGATGACATGGATAATTCTATAAACAATAATATATAAGAATAAATATGATAATGAAAATACGATATCGCATATTGAATTCTGTATGAAATACTCATAAACTGTAATTATCTAGATTTTAGTGCAATTATAAATGATCGTGCAAATCGCGCAAATAACAGTAATCTCAAGTTTGAATTGACTCATAGTATAGGACGTAATTACTACTCAATTCAATTTCCTATCAGTCCTTCCTGAGAGTCTCTAATCTATCAGTACAACCAAGGAAGAGTTAAATGGAGCAAAAAACCACATAATCGACGATAATGCACCTACTTTACTTTCTTACGGTGAAATATATAAAAAAAGAGATGGATTACTGCTCAACGCGCGCGGACGGTTTTAATGCATTGTTAATTGCGAGTTTGAAATGTCGCTACTTTTTACAGTAGAAGCCAATTTTTCGACGGATTTTCCGCAAGTTAATTAAATCGTCACGTAGGCGCTTGCCGTTTATTATCTTTTTTAAAGTTGTAATCGGAGTCTGCTAAAGCGACGACGACTCTGTCCATTTTTTCAGTAAAATATTTTCAAAGGCTAGGTAAAAAAAATGGGAGAAAAAAATCACGCAGGTCACTCGGAACGAGCGAAACCGCGGGAATCGTCACCAAAAATGCGAATTAATGTAACGCCTCGCTCGGTACGTTTTTTTCTCCCTTTTTACGCGGCTTTTATACGGTATGTTTGGCGGTGCAACGTTCGAATTCCAGCACGAACACTATTTTCGCTTTTGAGAGCGTCCTCGGAAAATTTCGCAACGCTGCGCACGGAGGAAATATGCAGAAATATTTCTCCCGGCGGAGTAATTTAGCTGTTACAAAATTTTTGCGGCCGATCCGCGTGTCAGTGATAAAATATAAATTCGACCGATGTCTCGACGAAGAATTTTTCAGTTGTCTTTTATATTCTGGCGCAATGTTTCATGATATATATTATCACAATCATAAGTTAGAAATAAAAAAAGTGTTGATTCTAAATTAATGCAGATAATGCATTTGTCGATTTTAAATTGACATTAAATTATAACTAAACATATCCTATTGTTTTTATCTTTCCGCATCCGCATCTCGAGTATTCGTAATCGGACGAGAATATTCGGAAGTAGTATTCTATAATATTCAGAGTTGAACACATGGACATTTTTAGATATTTTGAGAGGATAAAAGAATCGATAAATTTAAGCTGGTATACCTACATATATAAAATATTTAAGCTTGAAAAAATTTTTTAATCTTTTACTTACATGATAAAACCGAATGAAAGAGGAGCAAGTAATGAACTTTGATACATTTTGAGTATCTTATCTTTTTTATCTAATTAACATTGATTTATAATATTATTTAATTATATACAAAAATTGATTAGCGAAATGAAATAAGACGATTACGTTTATGATATGCAGGCGTAATTTTCGAATTCAGAGGCGGATAAAACTTTCACTGAAACTTTGTATCCCACGAGAAAGAGTCGTCACGATAAATCTCGCAAGATATACGGAATAACTTCTTATATTGCCGGAACTCTACGAACGTAAATCTTGCTCTTTCTGTCATCACTAATTCTGACTGTGACGCGTTCACATTTCGCAGATTTCCCAAAATTGCTAGAATTTGGGAAACTTTCTTTATTGGGACTGAGCTCAGTGTTGTTGAACTTTTCTTTTTCTATAATTAATATCAGTGTCGAAACGTCACATGTCACATAAAATAATAAAACGATGCTGATTTGAAAAATTTCTGAGAAATTGGAGAATCTGGCTGATCAAGCTGATCCAATTAAATCATACCGGCAAATCTCTTTATGACATAATTGGCTAACATTAATGCTTTCAAGATTTTCCTCGATTGATAAAAATGAGATGAAAACGTATAAAATCGCGTATAGAAAAATTTGTGCATAATAAAACGGATAAATTGTATTTTGTCGTTCCTGCCGTTTACCTCTGAAAAAGCCGTAATGGAGTTTCGTTTGTCAACATTGTTTCGCTATTTTGTATAAGCCTATTTCGAAAGCGTGAATTGTTTCTAACGGATTGCTTGCTTTTACGAAACGCCGAAGGGCGAAAATGTGAATTCTAGCAGACGACGGCAGTGTTCGTTTATTGAAAAACGATCTCTCTCTCTCTCTTTCTCTTTCTCTCTTTGTAATCGTCTCTATAAGCTCTTTGAGACTCTTTGAAACTACACTGAAATCGTAAATGCCTCGCTCAATTCTACCCGCTGTGCTTGTCGTCGCAGCTAATCATTCGTATACAATTAATTAGTTCTTGCGCAGTCTAATCGGATTTTACTGGCATTTGTTGTAATTGGATTTTCAATATTATTATTAGGAATTTATTTCTTATTTATTTTCTGCTTATGCGAAGAAATGAGGAGCAAAATATACAATCTGTGATAATTTACGTTAAATATATTAATGAAATTTGTATTTATTCACTTCTTTGCTGTAGAGAATTGGAAGATAATTATTTATTTTCGTCCTATCCGATATACAATATTTGTTATTAATTATTAACTAGTATTTGCAGTAATTGCATAATTAATTTTCTCATACAGTTTGATATAACATATGCATTATTATACTTCTTTGTTTGCAATTAATTTTGTTGGGTGCTCTTTACACATACACGAGTCATTGTTGTGAATATCCCAATCGAATCAAATTGGGCGTGAATTCTTGCGACACATGATCGATTTTCCGCTGTATATTTTCCACCTCTTCCTTTCCTTCTTAAATTTAAAGCGGTGCAACCGTGCTTGATAAATCGATTTTCATAGACAGATTTGTTTACCTGTAGCAAACCAGATTTTTGTGTTTTTTGCATCGTCCCGGAGATCCAAAACTCAATTTCTAAAAAATGTGGAAAGGCAAATCTGAGCTCTAAAAATATTATTGATCATCGATACTTTACTCTTTTTTTAGATCGAGAAATGAAATATGTATAGCAGTTGAGAAGAATTTCATTTAATTAAAATTCTAATTTTTGATATCAAATTGATATTAGTGTACACTTATTTATCAAATAAAAGCTAAGGAAATAGAAATAAGGAAGAATTTGAAATAAAACGATTTAGATAAAATGGTTTTATTTTTATCATGTTTGAACACACACATAATATATCGTCGCTTAATTAACTCTCTTTCATAATCTTTAATTTCAGTTCTCGAGACGAAGGAAGAAAGAAAGATTAGTAAAGAGACTCTTAATCCGTTACGGAAATAAGAGGAAACGAAAAGGAAACAAATCTCAAAATGGATGAAAATCAACAGCAGGGGCCGATATTCCGATCACTCAACAGTCAGCACGAATCCTTTGTCAGGTTTATTAACACAACGCCTCATTGTGTTACCTTATATTGGATGGATTATCAAGGACAGGCGATTAGTTATGGCGATTTATCAGCTGGAGACTACAGAGAAATTAACACGTTTCACACCCATCCGTGGATCTTCGTCAACAAAGAAACTCGAGTCAGGTAGGTGTCATGCATAATTGTTTTCTTGCCGTGACGTGTCGAGATAATAATCGCTTTATATATTTTTGGCCATGACAATTTTCTAAATGATTCCGATTTTTACAAGTGTCAATAAGCATAAAAGATATCAAGTCGGCACAAAATGACAAAAGCTTTGTCTTTCCGATAATTTAATTCTTAAAATTTTGGGAAGCAAATGTAACGTTTCTCTTGAATTAGTTTAATTTTATAGGCAATTGCATAACTTGCACATTTTTCCACATTAAGCTTTCTGTGATGTTAGAATTTTTTGAAGAGATAAGAAAAAGAATTGATAAAAAATTTGATGGAAAAAATCTCTCTCTCTGCTAAGCTTGACAAATTGCAAAAATAATTCGTTTCTTTGAGAAAGCTTGATTTCCGATGGGCAGATTAATTATGCCTAAGGCAAAACGAAACAGGTATTTGGTGGAGCAGCGGGACGTTTTCTTTCCTGAACCATGGTTCGTCAAATATCGTGGCGTCAGACCGAGCGAGCTGCCGCAAAGAATCGAGAGGACCGACGTGCGCATCGTGCTACCGATGTTGACACTGCAACAATTGTCACTGGGGGTCATCAAAAAGTGTCTGACGTACGATTCACAGGCCTTTCTCCTCGACATTCCACAGACTCTTCAGATAGAGCTCTTTACGATGTTACCAAGAAAACCTCAGTCCTCGTGACATATTTTCGCATAACGTGCCATTGTTTTCGCGCGATTTAAATAATGGCGGAAAATATACATTTGTTAATTTTACAAAGAGAAAAGAAAATATTTTATTATGTTTACATCAAAGAAATATGTTTATATGGATGTGTGTGCGTGTAAATGCACTCACGCGTGTATGTCGCCATATTATGCTAGTTTTTTAATAATGCATTTATTATATTCAAAGCATAAAAATTAATACAAATTAATATATTCACTTTGTTTCGGTGAAGCTGAAATATATTTTTTTCTATGTATATACAAAATGTACATACAATATTATGTTAAAATCGTTTTTTTAAGTTTTAATAAAACTAACTGAGTACACAATTTAAACTTTTAATAATGAATTATAAATTGTACCAAATTGTTTGGAAGAATTGTTTAAAACGTGAGATGCTTACAGAGGGAAAAATTGTGCGATGAATTTGATTATACCGAGTTTTTTTATTAAAAACTTGTTTTTCAAAGAGTCGAGATTAGAAGGAGACTTGTTAGCGCAAAGTTGTCAAGTTTGTTTTATTATGCATACTCTTCTCGCGTGAGTAGATTTACACAATAAATTATTTTGTATTAATATATATTTTATATGCTTGCAGTTTTATTATTAATGAGAGCGTTTAAAAGTTAAATTACACACACACACACACACACAAATGCACGCACGCTCGGATATCTCTTTGTTTAATGGCGAACAAACTCTAGGACGAATTCTCTCTTGATATTGTATAGCTCCTGATAACGATTTCGATTAGGTGCACCGCTCACAAAGTTTTGGTAGAATGGTCGATGCTCGATAGTAATCCAAGCTTGTTTCTACAATTTGTTAGTAGAGTTCCAAAGGTATTAACCGGCTCCTCTCTTCTGCACCTCATCCTTTACTCCTTCCTCTCGTTTTTCACGCGAATTCGAGAATCTTGGAAATCGACTTTCATTAATTAACAATTAATCGAGCAAATCGAATAAAAAATCGAGTTTAGAATGTATAGTGACGTTAATCGTCGTCGAAATGTAGTTTTTGTCAAATGTGTTAATTATTGTGAAAGATGGAAACACATATTTCTACAGTTGTATAAAATGCAAAATATTATGTATTATGCTATACATACACACACACGTGCGCAAATATAATCACACGTATTAAAAAGTTGTAGAGAAATATATATTTTTATATATATTATAACTGGACTCTCCATTAATTTACGCACTCAAACCTTTACAAATCTTTACAAACTTTTATTTCAGGAATCTATTTGATTTATGAGTTCATTTTTCGTATCCAGAATAGAATATCCAGACGTGAGTGAAACATGGTAAAACATTTTGCCGACTATTCTAGATACGAAGTGCGAGCGTATAAAAGACACAATTACAATTGCGCTCCTTTAATATTTTTAATTTTTATCATACTTTTATTCATTCCCTTACATGTAATAACGGATCACAAGAAAGGAGAGAAAGAGAGAGCTGTCGGTAAGTCAATTTTCACATCGGCGGTTATTCGAATAGTCAGCAATCGATTAAACACACGCTAAATGGACTCTGGTCACTTTCTCTTAATCTATCCTGATCCTAATGGGTTTTAAACCGTGGCAAAATGTCATCGAACGAGCTGTCTGCGGTTAGACTTATTGCCTATTCTGGATTAATATTTGAATCTGACGTTTCAAATTCCGTTTAAATTTCAAGAAAACATATAATATTGACTTTTAATTAATATTTTCTCATCATGTAATCGAATTGATTAAAAAGAGCTAGGAGAATGAAATTTTACGTATTGAATATAAACGTAAAGTTTTTCCACTGAATGGGAGCACGTCCTCGGTGCGTTTTTCGCGTTGTTTGTAGCACTCGTAAAAAAAACAAAGAAAATAGAGGAAAATAGAAAAATAAAGATTGTTATCTACGCGGTGTACGCGAAGATATCAGAACGAAAAGAAAGAGAGTTATGAAACCGACGAGACAGCTCGTGGGAATGGCTCAAAACTTTTGTCGCATACCACGATACGCCTAATCAGCTCTAGATAATGCCTAATTGTCAATCTCAAATTAGAGAATTAATTAAATGTCAATAATAATTTAGAGACTAGAAACTCAAATGTCTCAATAGTTCCTGGCAAAATGTTGACAATTTCTGAATTTGACACAATTAGTTTATTCTCCGAAAACAACGAAATAAATATCTCTATAAATACAGAGTGTATTGCAAGTGACATATTTTTTTGATAAAAATCAAAAATTCTCTTGTAGCAAAAATTTAGGTGTCTACTATTTATTTTTAAATTAATTTGGCGTTCAACTTTAAATATTTATGCACGATTGCGGAAATCGGCCATCCCAAAAGTTCCGATAACGATTTTATGCCGAGACATGCTTTACATGTGTCCCTCGTAAATTTTGCAGTTTGTATTGCGCTTGGATTTATTACAGGTTGAACCTGTGAGGCTATTTCCGTTAGAGTTGACCCGTCTAATTCGATCGTCGATCGATCGTGATCGATCGCAACGAGCTAAATTCAATGATAAATTCGAGCGTTACAATCTATTGTCACGGAAAAATGTTCTCGACGACAAAGACGATAGTAAATTTTCTCAGCTATTACAGGGTAAATTTTCTCAGCTGTTATAGAGGATATACATATTTAAAACGACCTGTAACTCCTGCAAGCGGGTTGAACGCGACATTTGACATTTGGATATCAATGATAAAAATACTTTCGAAAGGTTACGAACTAAAGCTTTTATTTAACCAATAAATATTTGTAGAGTGCCGAAACTTTAACCGACTTGAATCAGCCAACTTGATTATTTTTCGAAATAAGAGAAAAATGTTCGAAAGTGATTCGACAGTCTCGACACCATTCGATAATAATAGACCAATTCGTTAATAGCGATCGTTGAGGTATCGGAAAGCACTTTGAGAACAATAATCCTGACAGATCGCAAATGCACTTGGTAGGAGAGTTCATAGTCTCTTAGTTTGTTGTTACGCGTACACACTCCGACGTCCTCGCCATACCATATCCCACTTTCCAGAATTCGAGGTTTAATACTGGTTTAATCATGACCGGGTCTAAAGTTCGTCGTCTGTGGTTTTTGGATGCATAATACGCCCCCGCGGAAGATCGTACAAACAGCGCGCGGCGAAAACCGCATGGTTCCCCAAGGCGCAACCATTTCGATTACAACCGTGAAACTGCACGGCACAAACCACCACCGGCGTGGCGGCGATTACACAGTGGTAACTTACAATCTCCGACATGCAAATCGTTGTACTGCGGCAAGCTCTCAATTTTTGAAGACCATTCGTACTATTCCAGCGCGACGCGACGTCTCTATTGGCGAAAGTTTCTCATTTCAATGTACGCGTTATGAATTTCTTCAACAAGCCGGATATTTTTTTTTTTACACTAAATAATATAGCAACTTTTCTTTTTCTATACTCGTGTTGTATAGACTTTTTTATAAATTCAGCATTTTGTACAAAAATAGTCTAGGTTTATTTGTAAAAACTTTATATGTGTATATATATTTGTGTATTTTTGTGTATAAGTTTTGCAATTTTTATGGAGAAAAAAAGGGAAAAAGCGTACTTTTATATTCTTTTTTAATATATATATTTTTTTAAAGAAAATTGTGAAGATGCAAAGTGAATTACCACAAGCAAAGAATGTTTTACTTTAAAGAGGATAATTGTTTGGCTTTTAACTAAATATGATGATAAAAAGAGTTAAGTAGTATTAAATATAACATCCTTCTCAGATGTTGCGAGCAACATTACGTAAAGTATCATTGTGTGTAGGGAAGCATGCCTCGCGAAATTCGAGAGCTTGCTCATTAGTTGAGAATCTCCAATCGCACAAAGCTGTTTCAGGCATATTAATTAACACAGTTGTGTAACTTCCATTTGCTCTGACGCTTAATAGCATCTGTGGAGATCATATAACGGAAAATGTCAAGGAGCATATTAATAGGTGGATATAGATCCTTAGTCTATTCTGGAAAAATTAAGTTGCATAAAAAACATATATACATAAATATTTGATATATACATATACTTCAATATATATTTAATTAAATGTAACATGTAATAAATAATTATTTGACTATTTGAAAAAATATATTAAAGTACAATATTTGTACAAAAAATTTTTCTCCACACACATCCATTTGCGCTTTCAATCAATAAAAAGTTTCTCTGTAACAGGTTTCTCTTTTCGCTGTCTATATAATAATTAATGAAATCTGTTACGATGGTATAAAATATGTTGGCAAATTAATTTTTCCCGTGCAGACGAAATTTAATGTAGTGATTTTCGTGAAAAAATGTAAAAAATGAATCATTACGTTGTTTGAGCATCACATTTTGTCGCATCACATTCCCTATGCTTTCCTATTTTTGCGTATTCGTTGTTCAAACATCGCAACCGTTGCAAATCGAATATTTGCAATCGCATACATCCGTGAGAGGCTTTCAAGCTGTTAGTTGTTAACAGGAAATCCAGATTATCGAAACAAGCATCGTTATCGCTAGGGGAAAATATGGAATAAATAGAATAACAAAATACGCGTATGTGTGTGTGTGTGTGTGTGTGTGTGTGTGTGAGGGGGAAAGGGAGTGAACAGTTTTGTCTTCAAACGTCATTTGCGTTTTGTGGGACTCTTCGGTTCCAAATCGGATGACATTTGATCGACTAGTGGTTTTATCTCTCGATTCATACAACTGATGACATTTGTGCACTCGGGGTTGATAATTATATTCATCTCTTGTTATTCAATTGCTTCGACGTGTGTTTCGCCTTTTTAATAAAACAAAACCAGCGTGATCGTGCGTTTAATCGTATCGAATAAAAATCAATCGTCGAAATCTCTTGCACACTGTTTATCGTACAAGTTTCCCAAGTCTTATTGATAGGTGGGATTATCCATACTCGTAAATTTTCTTAAAATATTCATTTTAATTTGCGAGAGATAA